TTTTATGAAAACAAAATTCTTCCTTAGAATATTTAATGATAAAATGATGACTATCAGATAAACATCTCAAATGATTGAACATTTCTTGCTTTCTTATTTTAATGATTGTTTAAACAAGTAGCTCATCTGAAAGAAGAAAATATGTTTCTGACGTTTTAAGAAAAAATTGATGCAAAACGAGGTCAATCATAAGAATGAAAAATTGCAAGATCATCAAATTCCTAAACTAATAAAAAATATAACAGGCATGTGAGAAACAATATTAAACATCAATTATTATTCTTATTGGACAAATTCTTAGAATTTTTTCTTTTTTTCCCTAAAGAAAAAAGTAAAAAAATACAGCTGAAGAAAAAGAAGTACAAAGTTTAAATGGAATTGGACAGAAAATGTAAAAAAGATACAGGCTAATTGTTCCCAATCAGTTGACTGATATGCCAATTAGAAGAAAAACTGCTGCTTGTAATACAATATAGACCATTTTTTCAGAAGGGAATTAATTTCTCAAATTCTGAGACTTGGTGAAATTCTAGGAAATGGATTGGTCAATTTATATTTAATTAATTAAAAATTAATTGGGAATTGGAGACCTGATTGAAGTTGAAAGTGCTCTTTTCTTTAAGAGTGATCATTTTAATGATGTTGTGCTAATAAAAATCGTGCTATGAAGTGCAGTTTTTTGTTATTACAGTAACAAATATACAAACCAATGGAAACCATAACATTACTATAGATTTTAGTTTGAATCCTTAATCTACTCTAATTAATTCAGTTATACATTTTATGTCCTATTTCATTTATTGAAAGTAATTTAAAGCAAAGAAAAGGGAAAAAAAATCATTTTATCATATTTTGCAAAGGAATGTATTAAATTTATTCTTTAATTTGTTTCTTGTTTTAAATCACTTTCCCAGAATGAAATCATCATTAACAAAATATTTTTTAATTAATATTTTGGTCAGCAGATACACAGAAAACAAACTTTTTAAAAATGCTATTTCATTTTCATGCTGAAGTATTAGAAAAGAAAAAAAAATAATAGGTTATAAAATGACATTATTAAAATATTTTCATAACAATGGAGATTTCTAAATTAAAAATAAATCAATTTAGGAATTCTAGCTGAAAAATAAAAATAGGAAAATAAAGAAGACAAGAGAAAGAATCTCACATGAAAGTTATTTCATAGAACTCAACTTTGTATTCATTTTTGATAAAATGCACATGTCTCTCTGTTTCAGGTTATAGTTTATAACCTTTAAACAAAGGGAAAAAAATTATAGAAAAGAGAAAAAAAATTACAAAGAAAGGCAAGTAATTATGACTAATGATTTCTGCAGTAAGTAAACAAATTTTTCATTTTAAAATGATAATAAAACCAGTTTAAAAAAACCCAATCGTTTTTTAATGATTTTAATTTTTTTGTACTTTTAAAATATATTAGCTTTGAAAAATGTAGATCACATGCACTGATAGATTTTAAACAAATAACCATTAAAAGATATTAGTATCATCAATATCAAAATTGAAGATCACAAATCTTGGTTTAAAAATCATAAGCTAATCAAAAATAAATCCTATGATTGTAATACAGAGTTATATCTGGTGGTTACAGTTTCTTAGTATTTAACTTGTTATCCTTGCTAAACATGAAAAACTAAAAGTAATTTAACATAAAGTAATTATAACTTTGAGAAGTTTCTATAATACAAGACTCAAGAGATGAAATATTGATTAATTGAAGATTTAAATTCAACATTAAAAGTATCATAAACAGCAAAGAACTTTCACTTTCTATAACATTTTCAACTTAATCAATTCAATAAAAAGTTCTTTGGAACTTACTGTTATTACTCACTTTCATTTATGAACATTTTGATAATTTGCTGTGATTGAAATTAAAACTAATCCTAATCAGAACTTGATTTAATCCTTAAGAGGCAACTTGACAAATAAAATTTGGGGTTGCATCATTACATATGTTTGTCCAGTGTCTATAAATTAAAAAAAAAAAGATATTTTTAAATGAAGCTACATCAAAAATCTATATGTATTATAAGAAAGATGCATCAAAATCTAAATGGGGCCATTTGAAGAGGCTCCATCAAATTTGACCCACTCCAACTAGAGGGACCCAAATACTCTAAATTGTTTCAAATTAATCTAATGGAGCTCCATTAAATATGAAAATAAACAAATCTGTTCTTATATATCTTAATTTTTTTTTAGTTTTATCTTATTTAGTCTTGGGACCCTATAGCTACAGCCCAGATGTAAATCCAGCACTGGTTCTAACAAAGACTTTCTGTCAAGATTTATTAGTTTCCTAGTTTCACCCAGTTTCCTTCATAATTCCTATAATATAGAAATGTCAAGAGAAATTTTTTTAAAATTGCTGAAAAATATTAGGATTAAATGTTCTGTAAACAATAAAACTGTTACATTTTCAATTCAATAAAAAAAAGGGAAAAAATCTACAATTCAAATGAAACACATGCAAATGAATCAATGAATTAACAAGATATTCACAGAAATATCATATCCTTTTGAAATGATTATTCCGATCCTTTTTTTTTTAAGCATTTTACCCCAAGCAAGGCAGGAGTGCCACTGATTCACAGGGGGTTACATAGAGTGAAGATAAGTGAAAAACTGTGTATAGGGGAAATGAGAAAAGGATAAAAGATGAATGTGGTTCAGAACATCAGAAGATGGTGGTTGACATTGCATTTAAATTTTTGAAGATTGTAGTTATCAGGGAAGCAAGTAAACGGAAAAGAATTCCACAGGCAAGGGTGCGAGAAAAGAACCTGTTGGAGTAGAAGTGGCGGTTACATTTAACTATTTCAATGATAAAAGGGTGGGACCTAAATGCCAGACAAGTAGCATGCTTAAGTTTATTGGGGCACCAGGTAAAAAAGCTCAACAGAACAGTGGCCATAGAAATATTTGTAGAAAAGACAGAGGGAAGCCATATCATCTCTGTGAGAAAATGACTGGAGTCGAGATGCCAATTCAGAATTGATTAGATTGCAGATCCTTCTTTAGATTTTGTCAAGAACCTCAAGATGAACAGCTGGGACAACAGACCAGATATGGCAACAATACTCAATGCATGGATGAATAGTAGATTTGTAGGATGAACTCTGATGGGAAAAACCTTCTGGCATGACATAATGAGCCAACTTTCCTTGTAGCAGATGCAGATATTGATTCAATGTAGCTGTTCTACTTCACGTCATTCAAAAGTGCAAGGTCAAGAAGGTGCAGAGAAACACTCTCCTGGAGTTTAGCATCAACTATGCTCATGGTGGACAGGGAATTATCTCTGTGGTGGCTAAATGGAGGCATTAAAACTTACAAGCCATTCACTATCCCAGTTAACCACTGATTGAAGGTCATTTTTGAGAGCAGTGGCTAGAATGACTGTCAGCACTGCAGGTTTACTATTGAGACAGGAGTAAATGGTAGTGTCATCTCTATAGATGCCTACTTGGAAGCTGACAAGATCAGGAAGATCATTGATGAAGATCAGAAACAGTGTAGGAGCCTTGGGGAACTGCCGCATTCATAAGAAAGGATCTGGAAGCATGCCTATTCAGAACAACCTTCATTTCATGATTTAAAAGGAATGATTGGATTAAATCAAATAGTTGTCCTACAATACCCGAAGCTAACGCAAAAGACCAGTATGCCAAATTCTGTCAAAAGCCTTTGAGATATCTAGAGCCACATCTAAAGCTTTGCCGTTCTTATCAACAGCATAATATTATATATATATATATATTTAAATTATTTAATTATTATTATATATATATATATATATATATATATATATATATATATATATATATATATATATATATATTTATTCAGTTATAGCCATGAGCACATCAACAGTAGACCAGGCAAAGCAGAATCCATATTCAGCAAATTTGACAATAACTTATCTTATTTAAATATATTTTGAGATGACACTGAATAACTAATAAATTTGTATCTTTCTTATAGCATTTGATCAAAGATTTTAAAAATTTGAAAATAAAAGGTATATCAAGGATCACAAAATGGTTTCATATAACACCCAGTCACCTCCCTACAATCTGTCATAGCCTTTTGTGTCTGTGATTGTGCTATATAACTGAAGATAAGAGAAATCAAAATTTAGCCATATATGCTTATTTTTTATTTTTATTTTTGCCACAGGTCTGAAGTGAAGAAGTAAAAATGATTTTAATTATTAATTTGGAGCAATTCTTTCATAATCAATCATTATTATAAACAAATAATAGAAAGTAAAGGAGAAGCAAATAAGTTTCAACTTTGCATCACAAACGATGTAACAAAAACATTTTACCATCTCGGTTTTCATATAGGAACAATTGACAAATAAGAGTTAATAACTCAAACTTAATTGTTTGTCAACTTTACATCATAAAGCCTTAAGTCAAACATACAGCTTAATATTTATTTGTTTTAGTAACTCAGCCTCACAAAGTAATTTTTTTAAGTATACTGCCTTATTTGTATTTGTTAGAAAGACTTGAAACAAAATTCTTCTGAAAAAATAATACACATGTAATAAAATGATGGAAACAAAAATGAAATTGACATTAAAACCTTAAAGAGTAATGTGACACTCATTTTGTATAGTGCCTGTAAATATGAATAAAAGATGATATACATCAAACAGCAGAACATAGTTAAATTGCCAAAAATGATTTAATAAATTTCGCATTTGTTTATGTAGAAGTTCAGTAAAAGACTCAGAAATTTGTACTTGAAAAAATTACTTATCTATTTATTATTATCAATTATAAAATCAAAATCTTCATCAAGCAAAATTTATAAATATTTCAAAAATATAAATACATATTGTTTTCTAAAACAAAACCTTCTTCCTGAATATTTCCCACCCTTTAGCCAAATCCAATTATTTTTTGATTAGAATACCAAGTCCTATATTCATCAGGAGTTATTAAAAAGAAAAAGCATTTTACCTGGACTGATGACAAACTCTTTTCCACTAAGAATATGATGAAGTAAAGTCTTCATTTCAAAAGGACTCAAGTTCAAGAGGTGGTCTGAAGCTTCTTCACCTGAGGAAGAAAAGACAAAGAACAAATAATTTATCTTCATAGAATGGAATATTCATTTGTCTTTTCTCTTAAGCTAAGAAGTCAATAGGCAAATGCATATAAAAAAAATTATAGAAAAATTCAATAGATTTAAGTAATATTACTAAAATTCAAAATTAACTCATTTTTGTGCATAACACTGGCTTTGATTTGAATTTCCACATTTGCATATATTAACCAATCAGCAAGGTTATTTTTAAATATGCTGAAACCCTTAAAAATTCAGACAACTACGTTTATTGTCTGCTATGAAATTTGTAGGATCACTCCAGAAAATGATCAACAATATTTTCCCTCCTAAAAATAGATATTTAAAAATTGGGAAACAATATTTATTAACCAATAAACTTCTGAGTTTAGTAAAATCTAACTTTTAGATTTCTGGAACCTATTTTTTTCTGTATAAATACAATTGTGTAAATTAACAAAGTTTTTCTGTAAACCTTTGAACAGGGTTGATTGTTCATTGTTGCGGACAAGCTGAATTCTCAAAATCTTTTGTATAATTTGTTATGTAAAATTTCACAAATTTTACTTGAGTAACTATTTATAAAGCCTAGCAATTTTAAAGTAAATTAAGCCCACTTGAGACATACAAACAATATGTATTGTCAACAAAAAATTATGTAGTAGTATAATACAGCTATTGTTCATTGACTGCTTATTGCTACTGCTGAAAAATTACATGCATTCAAAAAACAATATAAATACATGACTCATTAAGTATGCACTCTATGCTTTTCTATCATACTAATGCAATTGATTCAGTTGTAAAGGAAAACAAAATATTTTTGTGAAGATGTTTGACAAAGATTCTTTGTAATTCGTTTCTTTCAATTTGAAATAAAACAAATACTCAATAATAAAATTTATTTAAATTTGTACAGTTATGTTTGAAGATCATTTATTTCTTCGTTTTCACACACTTAAACTGCTACACATACATAGATGATAATAGCAAAGTTTATTTTGAATTCCTTTGAGATAACAAAGGCAAAAAAATTATTTACTAGAAAAAATCATTATTCTAACATTTATTAAGTCTGTTGTTATTAAGTTATGGGCCAACATTTGAAGTTGAGACGGTGTCATGTTTTGACAAAAAGAAAAAAAAACCAAGTGCTGGATCAGTAGACAAACAAAAGTGTAAAACTAAACAAGATAGAAATTTTTATTCTATTAAGAACTTTGGAAATATTTCTGAAGTTCAAATTCAAAGAATGTTCTTATGAGTCTGTAAAAAAATGAAGAAAAAGTTGAACTTACTCTGCTGGTGAATTAGCAAGTAAGGTTATTGTTTAAGTCATGTACGTCTATAAGTGAATTGATTAAAAATGGACATTAAATAAATTCTATATTAAGATTAGTATTAAAATTAAAACAATTTTGAATACCTGTGCACTTAAGAGTTCTGGCCATTTCTGAAGCCATAACTTGAATGATGAGTCCAACACGAAGACGTAACATTTCATGAAACAGCTGTGGTTCTGTGCGAATGAACATGGCCAAGTAAATAAGAAGTTCCTGAAACCAAAAACTAAATTCATTAACTAATGCAGCAATAAGTGGCAAGACAAAGGAATTGGGTAAAGATGAAAAAAAAATAAGAAAAAATTGATTAATATAAAGTGTGTCCAAAATGAATGATAGAAAAAGAAAAAAAAAAAAAACTTACTTGAGTTAAGGCAGCAGTGCTGAGATCTTCTCCACAAGCATCAAAGATCATTTCAGACAGTTCATCAGGGGGAAGAGGACTGTAAAAGACATACTAATATTCTTCATGTATAAAAAAAATATTGAATATTTAAAAAGATTTAATAACTGGTTTATTGTTGTGATTCTGTTTGTGTTAATTTGTGTTTTGTTTCTAAAATAGAAAAATTCCTAAGCAAAATCTGATAATCTGCTTGCAATCATCCGGCAGAAAGAACTGATCTTTTATTTGTATTATACTTCTAAAATATTAACTTGTTTAAGTCTAGGATTAACCGTAATCTTCTCCACATATCCCCATAAACTGTGCCTCATATAATTTATTATAATTTATTATTGGGTTGACTAAAAAGCATTTAGTTTTAAATTCAGATTACTTTTGGTTATATTGTAATAACTGTCTTATGAGCTTGCAATTTAAAAGAAAAATGGTAAAATTGGCATATTTTTGTTTATTGATTCTAATGTTGATCAAAGAAGAAAAATTTTCAGTATGTTATAGTTTTTTATTTAAAAAAAGATGAAACACTGAAACACAAAAAATGATTTGTGCACTTAATGGAGAAAGTATTGTGAATAGTGAAATGGGTCAAAAATGGTTTGCAAAATTGTTCAGATCTACAGTTGAGTAGACCAATGATGGTTGCTAGTAATCAGATTAAAATATTACTACCAAAAACAATGTTAGACAATGAAGGAGATAACAAACATATTCAGAATATGTAAGTCACCTGTTGAAAATCATTTACACCAGCTGAATTTAACTGTTTTGATGTGATGTGTAGACTTACACATAAGCAAAAAAACAAACAAACAGTGAGACTATATTTTTATGTTTGATTCACTACTTAAATATGATGAAAATATACTTTTGTTTTTGTATTTTTTTTTTATTTATCCTTCTGCATTTGTATTGCTCCCTCTGATATCATTCTGATCATAAATATCACATTTCTTGTTCCAGTGTTCTTGACAAAGCCCTACTTTTATTGTCCTATTTCTGATCTAATTCTGCTTTGCACTCTATTCATCAGGATTCATTTTCTTGGTTATGTGGCTCATTAATCTGATTGTCTAATGGAGCTTGCATTTATTTGCAACTGGTTTCTAAGGCAAGTCTATGAAGATATATCTATTGAGGTTCTTTGGTGTGTTGCCACTGTTATATATTTTGTTTGTTACTTCTTTGCTTTGTTTCTGTTTATCTTGTCTAGTGCCAATCTTACTTCAGACTTTAATATGTCCAGTATTTAAAAAAAATGGTGTGCTCATCAAGAAGCTGTATAAAATCAAAGGAAGGGGGGACACTGATAATAATGTTGATTACAAATGACGATTATCTCCCTTTTGTGGAGATGGTCACATGACGGACAGTGAATGACATCAGGAGATAGATTGATGAAGGGCAGTTGCAATGTAGAGCCCAGAGGAGAAGGATGTCCCAAGCCTACAGAGAAAAACCACATGGCCTAACCTGGTTTGTAGAGAAACTGTTGTAACTCCAGTTTTCTCTTTGGGAAATATTACAAGTAAGGTTCCCCTTTCTCACACACCATATGTTTCTGCTTATATGTTATAATTTCTTTGCATGGGATACATGTATATGTGTATATATCTAATTTTGTGTACAACATAGTATTATAAAACTCTCTGAGAACTAAACATGTTTGTCATCCTTTTTCCAGTCACCTATTCTGTTATGTTTGTGAAATATCAGTGTTGTTATATCATAGATATAACAAAGCTCAAAATGAGGGAAATCTAAATGGAAAAATAAATCTTTCTTTTAAGCACTCTTGTTACAATAGAAAAAGAAAGAGCAAATACATCAGAACTATTTCAAGATGAGAGAAAGAAACCTAAAACATACTAAGCTAATTCCAGTAAATATCCATGTTTCTGTGGAGCAATAGTTGACTATTACTGAAATAGTGAGCATGATCTTGATTAAAGTCTTGTGCCATACTAAGTTAAATCTAGTAAATATATCACTAAGTATCATTGCTGTTTTTCTTGATCAGATAGTCAACACTTATTTGGTCATAACTTTGAAAATGTAAAAATACACTAATAAATTTTATTTGGTGGTTAAGGTATGCAGTGGTATTTGAAATATAGAGAGACTAATCAGCATAAAACTCACTGGGGTAAAAATTAATTTTAAACTAAGATAAAAGAAAACTTACAATTAAAAGTGTGTTAAATATGTGATACCTACATAAAATGTCAACATATGTAGATATTCATAATTTTAAGGCAGATAGAAGTTATTTGGATTTTGTTTTAAAGGAAATATAGTAAAAATTCTTAAATTAACCTTGTGATGATTTTCTCTCTGTCTGGTGGGAGACCAACAGAGAGCTGCTTCTGTCGCACCAGCAAATCAGTTGCAGCCTAAAATAGAAAAGGAGAAAAAAGCTGGTCATTTGAGTTTTAGTGTGTGTGTATGTATATATATATATATATATATATATATATATATATATATATATATATATATATATAACAAAAATATGAATAAAATTTATACTGGGAAGATATTTATAAGTAGGTACTGCGAAAGAAAAGCTATAGCTAGGGTTTAAAATGAATTTTTAAAAATAAAAAAAATCTTTCTTGAAGCTTTTATTTTAATTTTAAGATAATAGATTAAATTTAATATTTCAAATAAACAAAATACTTTTCTGTATTTCAAAACAAATTTAAATTCATTGGAAATCACTTAAAATGGCTGATTTTAGTCATTTTTAGTCATATTTACAATTTCATCAGTGCAATTAAAAAATCTTTTAAAAATAAATTATACTTTTCTGAAACTTTATTCTTGGAAAATTACCTGATTTAAAGTTTAATTAATTAGATTTAAAACAAATATTGCTTACGATTAGTTTAGAATATTGTCTAAAAGCATTTTTTAACATAATGGTGGATGTTTTTATGAGCTGTTGACAACTCAAGAGCGAGACTTATGTTTGGGAATTTTTTTCAAAGAAGGACAATTATGGTAACAATTACTTGACAGATATAACATGCACACCTTTTTTTAAATAATTTTTTAACTACTGAGTAATCTTTAAATTTTAGGAAAATATTCTAAGTAAGCTCATATTTTATTGAATTTTAGGTATTTTGGTTATAGTTTTACTTACTAAGATGCTTGTTGAAGAAATGTTAGGAAATTATCAATAAATTTCAAATTTACTGTAATTTTCTGATAATGTTGTGTATGGATGTTTGTATTTACAAAATTAAAAGAAAATGAAAACATTTCTTGTAAAATTTCATTATTCATTATGAGACAATAATGTCCATAATATATCTTATTCATAAAAGCAATTACAAGTTTTCTAATTAAATAATGTTTTATTGCATTTTTTATTTTACAATTAAAAGCAGAAGTTTTGCAAAAAAAATAATTGATGATTTAAATTCTCCAAGGACTTGTGCTTATAACTAATATAAGCATTAATCCCTACAAAAATGAATTTCTCAAAATTTTATAAAATTAAATAAGTGGGGGATAACAGATGTAAAAGAAAAAAAGAAATTACCAAGATTTCCTAAAAATGTAACATTTCTAAAATAATTTAATTCATTTGTGAATAAGTCCTGAAAGTTTCATTAAAATCTGACATATGATTTTTGCAAGAATTTCAAAATCAATGTGTTTTTCACATACACACACACAAAAAAATGCCAAAATTTCCCATACTAATTTATGGTAACCCTTTGATGCAAGAAAAAGAAAATTTTAGCCAAAATTTTGAAGGTTCTAAAAAACTCATTCACTTTTCCACTGCTGTAAGTTTGCTTCTCTGTGCCTTTTTTATAAATACTTTCATAGGAATTGTTCGGATGAACTCTTTGTTATGATACTTAGACTTTTTGAATTTAAGTGCAGTACTAGACTGACATAGAGATCTCATCAATTTACAGTTGAGTTGGTTAGATGTAACTGTAAATTCTATGCTAACAGTTTCTTTTCTCACACTTCTCACTTGTTCAACTTGTACATGCAAATCCATTGCTGAGGATGCAGGTAAAATGGTCGGCTCCCTGTACCACTCCAGTCAGTACCTGACTCCTCCTGCTATCCTCCATCTTTACAAGAGCTAGATCAAGCCAAAAATGGAGTACTGTTGTCATATCTGAGTGGGAGCTGCCCAGAACTCACTCTCCAGCCTTGATAGAGTCCAAAAGAGTCTCCGAGCCCTTGTAGATGACAAATTATTCTCCCTCCTCTCCCTCACAGGTGGGATGTGGCAAGCCCCTTGCTGCTCTATCACTACTTACATGGAAAGTGCTAAGATGAACTAAATTCCCTGGTTCCACCAGGTCAGCCATGCCACTTAAATAGTAGCAAACCACCCACATTCCCTCCATATTCCATTGGTGAGGAGTAAGTTCGACTTGAACAAACTCTTCCCGTGAACCATTTCTCTGTAGAAATGACAATCAAGAGGATGTTTCCCCAGTCACTACAATCTTAACCTGTTCAAGGCTAGGGTTAACTGTTATTTTCTTATCCACTCAAATTGCTTTCTAACATAACTCTCCACCTCGAGTGGCCCCCGAACCTTGTAAAGGATAAAAGTTACTATAAAAAAAAAAAAAATCTAAAAATATATGATCAGAATAGGATGCAGATCAAGTAAAAAAAAAAATCTAAGGGAGGTAATTCAGTATCTGCAATGCAAAATTTGTTTCAAACATTAAAATTGACAATACCTCATAAATATATACAAGAAAGAGATTCAAGTTGTAACGACAAGATAAGAGGCATCTTCTTTAGAAGACAAAATCTTACTGTAAAAAATATTTTATTTCCTTCAAGTAGCAAACTTACCAAAGCAAGATCTTCAACCCTTTTCTTCAACATGCCAGCAGTATGCCTCACCAGCCACCATTGTTTCCAATAACCTGCCTACAAAAACAAAGTTTATAACATAATTAAAAACGCACCTCATATCTTTAAGGAATAAAGCAATTTAAATGGTTTTCATTTATCTTGTTAAATTACATGATTGAATACATGCCTTACTAATTTGGGACACATTAATTACATGGAAATTAACATTCTTTATGTAAGTGTATTTATACAAACATAACAAAAAATAGATACAGCTATTTTCAATCAAGTCTTTATTCAATGATCTGAACAATTCAAGAATATTATACAAATTAAAATTTGGTTATTTAAACATTTTTTTTTTTTGAAACATCAAATTTATTAGATGTGCTATCTTCTCTTGCAAAATCTTCAATCAGGCTACGCTGAAAACACTAAGATCTTTTTTGTAGGTGTTTTTCTGGTTATTCTCTTTATTTCACAATCAAAACATTAAGATTTATGCTAGGAAACTTACTTTATCACAAGAGTTGCTTAGCTTTTTTAACCTAGTATACTTGAGTTTTATTTTCATTTATGACATTAAAAAGTGCTCTTTCCTCCAAATAAACATCTTTGAATATTTGGAAAAGTCCCATATACAGAAGAGATATGTATTTTTATGAACTTAGATTTCCCATACAGATTCTAGATGTTTTGAACAACCAGTGCTCTAAACTGTTCCCCATAATCTAATTAAAATTTGATTGCCATCTGCAGTTCTACAAATCTTGCTATCTTCCAATACAAATATGTTTTTGTTCAGTTCCCCACCTCATCAGACAAAGACAACTTTCTGATTGCTAAAATAATAAATTCAAACTCTTATAGCTTTGATGCAAAATAACAAGAAAAATGAATTCATCAGAATAGTAAGTTTTGTATCTTCAAATATCTTTTCAATGAATTCATGTAGATGGATATTTATGCATAGAAACAAAATAAATAGAAAAAAATTATAATGAAGACAATTTGACTTTCTACTTATTTTACTTGTAGATCAGATTCCTACATTTTTTTTAAATCTTAAATTTTGTGCAAGTTAAACACATAGAGGCTCCCAACCAAATATAACAACTGATGTATTTTGATTGGTTGTAAAATATTAATTAGGTGTCGTCAACTACGTCCGAAGGTACCGACCCAAATTTTGACCTCTAGTTGACGCCATAAAATGTAAACATGTTTACGAGCCTCCCCACGTGACCAAGAGAACTAATAAAAACGAAACTTCGACGCAACTTAGTCAGTGGGCACTTAAAATATTGAAACCAATTCACTTGACTTCATTGGAAATCAACACAGCAAAGGAGACAAACTTTATCTTCAATACAACAACAAACTTTGTCAACCATCTCCAGGCTTAACGCTCACTCCCACAAAATATTCCATTCCACAAGAAGAATCTCTGGTTAATGAGCGATAACTCTATAACAATCAGTGAGTCAAGAACAATACTTTTTTCTATTTAATACACTGAGGCGAATGAAGAAAACAGTAACCAGCGAGTTAATTCAAGCTCTCTCAGCTGGTATTTCAAACTTGAGTCGTTCCTTCCCGAGTTCTGTCTCCAAATCACACTAACTAGCCGTCAACCGTGAACGTCCCTCGAAGAACTTGCCGACTTGGAAAAAAGTAGTTGTTTTTATAGTTGTTCATGTACCCATAATCCCTTGCGTCTTCCTGTGATCCCATAATTCATTGCGTCCATGTCCCATAATGCATTGCGTCTATGTCCCATAATACATTGCATCGTTATTGGATAAAAATGCGATGCCAGTCCCCCTCATTCTTTTTACATTATCTGGCGAGGATGGATTACGTCAGAGCGGTAAGTGCTTTTTTTTCTCCTCATTTCAACTGCAGTAGCTTTACATGCTAAGCAAATACGGGCTCTTTTTTGGCGGGGACAAGGCAAGTCGTGACCAGTTGTGCTTGTCCCAGGTTCTGTCTCATGTCCGCCACATACACAAAAAAGACATCTGTTTAATTTTCCTATAATAACAAATATAGCTAACTAAACCTTGACATTTTCACACATACAGTACAGTAGCTCAAATACTTTCAGTAACACACACACCAAAGAACTCTATTGTGTTTATCAACTTTTGCACTATATATTATGTATTTGTTGTGTTTATAAAAAATATTTATTGTTGAACAAATTCATAATTTCTTCTACTTGATTATTTCTCTTGTTGTCTTTGTTACATTTGATATTGTAAAAATTGTAGAGGGTCAGTTTTTATTTCTATTTATAACCAATACGAATTGGCTGACCCACTATATACTATAACAAATAACAATTAGATAAAAGCAACAATCAAGAAGGGTTAAGTCATTACTGGAAATATTTGTAATGGATATATAATCAAACACGAGTTATAAGTTTCCAAATAACTTTGTCTTCTATATTATGTTTTTAAAATATTAAAAAAAAAATCAAGAAAACTTTTACCTTCTCATACAATTCCCTTAGTAAGTCATTCACTGTACACTGGTGGTCAGCAATAGTCACTTTGAAGCTTGGCCCTCTAGTGGTGAAAAAAAAAAAAATCACAATAAAGTTATAAAATGTACCTAACAAAACAAAGATTCCAATAGCAATCAACTTAACAGCTTAGCTGGGAAAGAATACTGGAATGCAGTAAGAGCTTATCAAATAATGTATTATAATATTCCAACTTGAAAATCACAAGCCAAAACTTGAAACTAATTTAACATGGAAAAAAAAGGTAAATCAAAGTATATAGAAAAATTCAATTTTTATTTGAAAAATACTTTTGTAAGACATGTCAAAATTAAAATTTGCAATCAGTATACAGTGTTATCAGAAAGTTCTCAGTCTATACATGTGATTGTACTATTCAACAAAAACATCCAAGCAGCAAAGAGTTCATCTGATTTTAGAAATTGTGATATCTATTGGGGTTTAATGATTACATGTGATGGCTTTTATAACAATGTGTTGAAACAGAGCTGTTCAAACACAATGTTATAAAAACATCGTAACATGTAATCATTGTGTTGAAACCGCTCCACATTCTTTACAAAGACTAACAAATTCGAGTAAATTCACCTGCATTAGATTTTGCATAAAGTTTGGTAAATTGGCTACTGTGGTCCTGGAAACTTTGCCTGGCTTTTGGCAAAGATTCTTTTGGTCAATCATAGATTTTGAGTGGATCTTGCATTTCAAGGCCAGTCAAATGCCAGTTGAAGATGATGAACATCAGGGCAACCGATTACTGGTAAAATATGGAAATATGGAAACGATTCTACGAGGATCATTGCTGAATAATCCATCTGCTTTCTCACATGATTGGGATCAATCTGTTAGGAGACAGAGTCCAGAAACTTTGCAATTCCACTTCATATGATAAGGTTATTTTTTTAAGAATACAAAAATAACTGAAAATATCATTACTAATTCTTGCATTGAACTAAGTTTAGTAAAAAATATCAAAAAGTGAAGTGACTTACTTTGCAATGTAAAGGTAATGGATGATATCAGCCTGATCGTGCATACTCTCTGATTGTCTAAGATTATCAAAGAGTTCATTAATATCAATAGAACCAAACATATCCATCAAATGTTTGCTTGCTTCTTCAGCAGATCCTTTTACTTTTCTACTCAACTTGGGGGACCCTTGGGTAGTTTGGGATAGAAAAGCAGGGTCCACTCCCAGCTTCAAGTGCTGTGGAACCTGAAATTCTACAAAAAATTTGGTTTTCTTAAAAAGTGATCAAATGAAAAAAAGGAACAAAGTTGAAACATTTTCTTTTTTTTTTTTGATTCCATTCAGACTTTCAAAATTGGATTCTGGGTAGGTGAAGTTTGTCTTTTTTTTTTAACAATAATTCATTTATATCTATTATTTTTAAAGCAGACTAAATAGGTTTCTTGATCCAGTAAGCTCATGCTAATTCAAACAACTTGGAAAATATTTATGGAGAAGAAAAGAAGAAAAATAATTATTTTAACATTATGCAATCAACCATTATTAATTTTTATTATTGCAATTTACTCAGGTTATCAGTCTATGGCAGTAAAAAGCATTGATCAGAAATAAGCAATAAGCCCCAGCTGAGATTTGGACTCAGTTTCATTTTTTTTCTACTTTAGTTAAGCCTGCTTATGTATGACAACTGCTCTACCAACTGAGCTTTAAAGTCAACAAAGGATCAAATCTAACCTTTAAACTCATTCTTCATTTTGCTTCCAATTGCTTAATGTCATACTATTGTTTTCATATACTACTACTACTACTACTACTACTACTATATTCATTTTACTTTTATCAGATGAAGCATTTTCATCCCTTATTATTATTAGCCTGGTGAGTATTCTTTTTTCTAATCATTACTATTTACTCACTGCCGTAGACTAACAAACTGAATTAGATGCAATGAAAAAGCAATTCAAATTAAGATGAGAGAAATACTAGTCAAAATATTAATAATGATTGACAATTTTTCATCTAATAGAAATAAAATCAAGATATCATCACATCTGAATTCGTAAAATTTTTATCTTATTTTAAAAATATAATGTTACTGATTTTAATTTTCCTCTAGGTTTGTATAAAATATGTTCAGTATGACATACAACCATAGAAAAGAGATGCTGAAAAGTTCTTGGCTAAAGATACTTCTCAAAATCTGACAAAATAAACATCATTTCTTGGTTAGGCAGATAACTTTTCAGGTCCACCTTTTCATATAACATCAATAAAACAAAATAGTATTAAGAAAAAAACATTCTTCCAAAATTGAGTAAATAGATTAACTTAGAATAAATACATACAAGATCAAAAGTGAATAAATTGCAATTAACTGTAAGTGAATTTTGTATTTGATTTTGCTCTGAATTGCTGTACATCAGATGAAGAAGCAGATTATTTTGAAAGGCTGCTCATAGCTTTTTTCATCAAAAGCTTGGACCATATTTCCGGTACATTTCTTCTGAAATGAACTTTGGACAATTTCCTCCTTGTCTGAAAATAGTTATTCATAAGATGCAAAAAAATGTTGTTTTAAATAGTATTTGCCTTAAAGAAGATTTGTTTCCAAAATACACAGAATTTTTATGATTTTTAAATGTCTGTTGATGATGGTCAGTGACTTGCAGGAATCTTTTTGTATTGGATGAGAAACACTTTAATTTGTCAGTAAATATGATAAGTGGTTAATATAAAAACTTAATTTCAAAAAGCTCAATTTCCAAAAGTCTCAAATGAATGCCAAGCAAAAGTTATCAAATATGTAAATAAGCGTCACGAGTCTTGACATGTTTTTTTTTTTATTTTTTTCATTTCAAAGGTCAACAATAGATCAAAATAAAGTGTTCAGCTGAGCAGAGAATACTGAAATGGATAAATAATATTTTTTTTAACAGGAAGCAGAATAAGTGATAAACAAAGTTGTGTCACTGGCAATTGATACAAAAAGATAAATGAAGACTTTCTATTGTTTTTGGTGAAGTGATTTATATCTGAATTCTAACAGAAAAGAGAACAAACTAATAAAAGAGCTATTCTCTACACACTGACAGAAAGTGAAAATCTCAACACCCTTGTAAGGATATAAAAGGCAATTATCTCCCTTTGGTGAAGATAAGTCACATGGTTTATGTGACAGCCGCTTAATGACGTCACTTGATACAGTGACAACGGTCAATCAGTCAAATTCAGTTCATTTTACAGCACTCACCATGTGAGGTTGCTTTCATTTAGCCTGGCTATATCTGCCTCTCCCAGCAGCTTATAAGTCCATGGTGCCAGTTCCCTTTTGGAATATCTCTTTTCCTGATATAGAAAGCAACTCACAGTCCTCAATTTGGGAAAAACGAAAGCTTGCTGTTTCCCATTTGTGGAATATGTCCTCACCTGAGACATAGATGAATCTGGCCCATTTGAATCATAAGTCATAAACATGGCTTCTCTATACACAGAGAGTATCTCCATATTATATGTAAAATCCTTCCTTTTTGTTTCTCCTTACAATCTACTTTGCTGTCTAGATATATGTGATATATTATTCTCCATGTATATATAGTTTTGTGTATGTCTTAGTGATATAAAAGTCTCTCTTTCCTTTCTGTCTGTAAAGTATGGTGTTATTATATTACAGATGTAATAATGCCCATAACGTAGGAAATACAAACGGGAGAATAAATCTTCCTTCCACAGCTCTCACCTATTACACCCTGAATATGTGTCTAATTTTACTAAAGATTAAATGCACTTGTTGGATTACAGTAAATAAACAGATCAATACATCTGGTCTGGAGTTTCTACTATATATTTGGAGATTTTTGATAAAATCTAAAGAAGAATCTGCAATGTTCAGTTACTTTCCCACCACCATAAGTGGATTTTTAGCAGCATATCAACTCTTTAGTCATTTTATGCCAAAACTGATTTATTTTTGTTTATATTTAGGGAAAATAGACAATCTTTGTTTTGTTTTTTATATTTTCAGATATAATCCAACTGATTTCAGGAATTTTATAATTCTATTTATTTCAATATTTTCAAATAGTTTACCTTGAAGAAATTGCATCTTTTAGAGTCATGATTAATACATTCAATTAGAAAATGTTTTACCCTATTGGGTTTGGCATGTAAGATGCCATGGTGGTTCTTGTATCAGTAAGAGAGAATGCATAATTTTAGTGTGACCTATTCATAGTCATAATATAGTAACCTCTTCCCTTTAGGATTTTCCATAATGGCAGGATTTGTTTTTTTTAAGAGTTGGTAAGATTGTTTTTACTTTATTTTGCAATTTTCTGCTCCATTGTTCTTGCCATTGATTTTGCATGTTTCTTAATTAATGGTTTTAGTTCAGTATATAGGATTTGGAAATTTTCAGGAATTAGTGTTAATGCCTGTTCAGCACTTTTGTCTGCTCTATTATTGCCCTTAATTCCTACATGGCTAGGAATCCAGATAAACAGAATTTTTTTTAAAAGTAGAGATGATATGGATGTTTTTCCCAATATTTTAGCTATCAAAGGGTTTTCCAGCTTTTTATTTTAAATAGATATGCAATCAGAAAAGATGATAAATTTTGAAGATTTTTTTTGGTGATCACATCAAAGGCTATATCTATCACTCTGGCTTCTGCACTAAATATGGAGGTTTCATTTTGGAGATGTTTTTTAATTGTTGCATTATTAAAAATAACTGCACATCCTACTCTGTCACTGTCTTTGGAAACATCAGTGATAAATGTGCAAATATTCTGGATATGATTGTTTAATTTTTTGTAGTTCATCTTGAAAAGTTACTGGGTTTGTATTTTGTTTTGAGCTCTTTTTCAGATTGAGGAACACTTTAGGTAGCCTTGTTGTCCACCACCATAAGATAGCTTCCCTGTGCATTTTCTATGAATATCTTCATTGTAATTGTTCTGATGAGCTTTCCTCTTTGGTACCGCAACTTTATGAATTTAAGCACAGTACTAGATTGGCAGATAGGTCTCATCATTTTATAGTTGAAAGATACTGCTAGATGTAACCATAAGTTCTATGCTAACAGTTTTTTAACTTCTCACTTGTGGAGCTTTATTGCAGTTAACTTTGATCTTCAAAAATTTAAATGCAATGTCAATTGCTATCTTCTGTCTTAATTCCTGTTCATTTATTACTATCTCTCCTTAATAATGTTTTTCTTTTCCTCATATTCTTTTATAATCAGTAAGCGCTCACATTTTAGTGGCTTTATAACCTTGCATAGATGAGAAATGATTAAAAAAGATATATTCACAGGTTTAAAAATATAGGGATGTATCAACATTACACAGACCCCAATATTAATACACTTTATATCCTTCTTAGGAATTAAGATAATCCTGTACTCTTGCATACATCCAATTATATAAATGTTGAATACCATCCTGAGATACATTATTAAATACCTCTTGACTCTGTTTATACTTTACAAAAAAAGTTATAAGTGGGCTAACTGAAGTAGTAAGGGGTCATCCAATCATGTTCCATGGATGTTAAATGGGAGATAGGTCTGGTGAGTGTATCAGCTAGGGAAGTTGTTGAATATCTTGCAAAGTAAGTTGAGTAGCATGGGTATCAAATAGGCAGGCATTATTCTGCTGGAACAATACATTACCTACATGTTGCAGAATGGCTTGAACAATAGTCTAGATTTACACAGCAATGTTCAAAATTCCTTCCACAAACAACAAATACAAACAGAAATTGTAAATTATGGCACCCATAAAACATGATGTGAGAGGCTAAGCTTGTGTGCCATGGGAAAATACACTCTGGGAGATGTCATACCTCAGATTTATATTGCACATCAATGAAGGCAGAAGCTGCTCTCATCACTGAATGAAACAGAGTGTTGTTCAATCTCCCAAATAACACTTTCGGGATGTGCATGATAGTATTGTAACATTAGTACTAGATGCACAAGCACCACTTGTCATCCTACAACAAACAATGGTGTGTGTTGACACTCTTGGAGCCATATTTACTCTAATCTTTGCTGTAGATGTCATGAGATCTGTCACTGTCTGTGCTTCTCCTAAAATGTACTAAACTTAGAGAGAGTCTGTACTATGTAGCAATCCAGAATCTGATCTACATGTGTAGGAATGGACACTTGACCATTGTTGCTGATATAAAAAACCCCACTAACATGTCAAAATGACCATTCAGCTTAATGGAGGCTGACAATCTGACCCTCTGCTCAAGTGGTTCTAATTGAAGAAAAGAAGCATGTATGAATCTCCATTGCCCAATATTTGTATGTATTAAACTCTTTCATTACATTGAACATTATTGCAGGATACATCATTGTTTAAAGTTCAGATCTGGATGGTGCGTTGATATGAGTTTTAGTATGATAGCTGAAGACTAAGAAAATGTTATTAGAATATTTACTACCCACAAGCCTACATGTACTGCACTCATGTCAAAATCAGTGTCATCCTTTAGGGTGTAGCAATTTTAATTTCTGTCAGTGTATTTTTTGGACAAATGTCTTTGTTATTTTTAACATCTTCTGATCTTCCTTGTGTTTATGTTGAACCCTGGCTTTAAAGTTTGCTCAATATTTTTTTTCCTCTTTTTCATTACAAATGAAATATGCCAAGAAAAGACTGAGGTTTTATGGTTTTGTGTTAGCACCAATGGAAGAAGAGTGGGTGATTGGAATCTGTACACTGAATTCTATTGCAGCATTATCAAACTGAGTTACTTTTAAAAAAAGGTCAGTGGTACTAAATTTTGAATTTCATGACTTGCAACTTTTGGGGTTACTTTTAAAATAACTTAACTTAGGCTTCTAATAAGAAGAAGAAAATTCAAAATTTAGTATCACCAAGATTTCTAATGTAACTAAATCTGTTATTTGTATCCCAATCTATAAATCCTACCATGTTGTAGGAAGTATTTACAATGATTGTAAAGTGTTATAAAATTAAATGACCTAGGACATTTATATATACTCAGTCCTAGTGTATTCTAGTTGAAAAGTGAAAGGAAAGTAAAAATGATGAAGTGAACTCTTAGGACCAAATAAAGTAGATTGTTTTAGAAAAAATAACAAAGATGAGGAAATAAATGGAATATAATAATAATAATACTTTATCCCAGAATTTCAGAAAACAATAAGTGTTTTTATGATATTTGTTTATTCTACTTTGAGATTATCTATTTGAGAAATTATATTAAAATTATTATATCAGGAAAATTAAATATATGAATAAAGACAAATGGAAAACTTATCTTAGCCAATTTTTTTATGTTCAAAAATTTTGCAAAACCAATAGAATTTCTGCTCCTGTATATATATATATACTTGTTACAAAATAAAATCTTTGCATCTGTCTTGATAGTGCCTCAGAGGACAAAATGTGTCACCTAAGATAAGTTTTCCTTTTGTCTTTATTCATATTGTCTTTTTACAGATATACTCTATCTGAAATTTTACACACACACAATATAAAAAAAAAGATAATGATAAAAATATAGTTTTAAGGTATGCAACATTTATGGGTAAGAGTGCTCAATATCAGAGACAGAGCATATGTAAATATAAAAGTGGACACAGAGTTCAACACCAAACAGCAACAGTCTGTTTCATGCTTCAACACAACCAACTGATGGTCAAAAGTTTGCACTGAAGTATGTAACAGACTGGTGCAACTTGGTACTGACCTCAGTATTCACACACACATAAAATTAGATATGAAGAATTTAAAATAACCATGCAGGACAAATAGTAACAATAAAAGTATGATTATCTTTATTAAAATTAATAGATTGTTACAATAATAAATCAAGAACTATCAAATTATCAAGAACTCAAACAGCTTTTGCATAATGAATGATAACATTCTTCACAAAACTGAAATTATGAACAGCGACAAAGAAGAAACTTTACAATGCAATTGTCATACATTAATATATTTAGATATTAATGTCTTTACTCTTATTGATTTCATTACTGAACTGAATAAACTTATAAATTCTGACAATGAAATATAAAAATACAACCAATCATTATAAGACATTTACATCATTTAATGATTTAGAAACTAAATTTGATCTTAAAAATATTTAAATTTATATTTTCACATAATAAGTAACATTTTCATTTACTTAATCTATTATTTGCATTTCAATTGTCTTTCATTTCTATGTTTATATTTTCAATCTGCTTTGTAGTAATACATTTGTTGCCAGTGATGATGGCCAGATCTGTTAAACTACAACTACATTTGTATAGAAAGATGTCTAAATATATTAGCTTCAATAAGCATTATAAAATTTAGAGCTCTGAGACAGATATAAAAAGAATAATGATTTAAAATTTATATTATAATTGTCTATACATGTTTTCATAAAATTTGTTGGTAATGAACAGGCATTTTCTTTATTGGTAATAAAAAACATTCAAGTTAAATTACAATGTCTAAGCAGAGGTGATAAATACAAAAGGGTCAAAGGAAACACAGACAGGCTTAAGAGATATATGAAGTAAAGAAAGTGCATATGCAAAATAGAAAGTTGCAGAATCCCATGCATTGCATGCAATTATAGCCATTCTTAACCTTTACATAATTCCTAGCACAATGTTTCTATTAATACTGAGATTTTATTTTAGTATTTTAAGTCTGGTTCATTTAATTTTTATTATTCATCTTAGAAATGTTGTTAATATAAGAGAAATAACCCAAAAGAAAGTGAAGTAGTGTATGATTAGATAACATAAAAAATAAGAATGAAAATTCACATTGACCAAGAGTTGAGATATGATGAATGAATATGAAACCTTAAATTAGTGGCTTAATAAATTGATAAAGAAGGTAAATGATTTTATAAAATATTAATGTAACAGAGTAGAAGGAGAAGCAACCAGAAAGATCTTTTCTAAATGTAGCATTGTGATACTCATTATTTTGAAATTCATCTTGATTTAAATAAAATTCCAACCCAAATTTTAAAAAAAAAATCATCTATATTTCTTACCATATTACAACAGAGACTAAAAGGTAACAATTTATGCAGAAACCATCTTTACATGAACAGTAAACATATGAACACTTTCTTTTGTAATTTACTAAAGGAGAATGCTGCTTCAGTGAACAAAAGAACTTATGGCTATAACATCTACCTAAAAATAAGAAAATACAACATCTGACAATTAGTCCATTATTAATTACTAATTCACTAAATAGCTGTGTAAGCCAGCTACAATAAAAAGTTCAAATACCATATTCTATAAAAACTGACTTAAGCAGTCAATTTATATACTACTTTTGTTGACTACTAAATCAAAAGAGATGTAAAAAAACATTTCTATTACTGATATACATTTGATTACTTTTACAAAATATTTATTAGTTTTAAAAGAATATAAACTTCAATCTAACAAGCTAAGATCTAAACTGGATACTTTGTTGAGAGATTGGTTTTTCAAGATAATATGTCAACAAAATAGACTACTATCTTGTTATATGAAAGATAAAATCCAAATTTGTGAACATTTAACAAGTTCTGTCACTCTCCCATTAATTAATAAATATTTGTACAGGAAACTATCTTATTAAAAATGGAGAACTGCAGGTTTTCCATTCAGTTTCTTCAATAAAAAAAAATAATGGATCTTTTATGTCAAAAGAAAAGTAAAGAAAGTAAAGTTTTTCTTCTGTAAGAAATCTGATTCTACCATTAAAGCATTATACAGCAGAGTTTTTAAAAAGGACAATGTCATCATGAATATTCCTTTGATTCTACATCAGAAGCTGATTACACTTGAGTTAGCACATACAATGATGAATACCACAAATTATAGGATTAAAAATCTTTAAGTAATTTGTGGACTAAAAAAATACATGATTTTGGTAAAAAAATAAAGCCATCTGCTTTAATCAAAAGAGTAAACAGAGTAAATGGATTTCTTTGAAGTTAAGACTCGAGTGTAGCAAGGTGACATAACATCACCATCTTTCTTCCTTGTAATAATGGATTATATAATGAGAAAATCCATGCATGAACCACAGTTTGTTGTACATTAGCAGAAAAAGTGATTATCTGATCTGGAATTTGCAGATGATTTATTTGCTGACAAATGGAGAGAAATGCAACATATGACAGCCTTATTAAATCTAGTTTGTTCTGAAGAACACCATATTGAGGAAACTTGGAAAAATTATGATGTTTTTCATTTAAGATTCCTTTGCAAAATCCCAAAAGTGTCTTGGAGAGATAGAATCAGAAACAAGGAAGTGCTAAGACATGTCTCTAGGAACCTTAGTGTAATTGTAGCAGATAAGTTGATACAGGTTACTGGCCACCTGACAGTCAACAATCCAAAGTTGCTCTAAACTGGATACCTCACAGCTGCAAAAGACCAAGGGGTCATCTTAAAGTGACATGGTGCACTACAGTTAAAGAAGAACTGAGAAGAAGAAACACCAACTGGTTCCAGGCTCCATGACTTGCCCAAGATCAATTCACGTGAAGAAAAATTGTAGCCCTTTTCTGTGCAACAACCATAGGAGTAAAGTAGCTTTAATCAAGAGGAATTTACAGGATTTTACATAAGTTTGGATAAATCCTTTAATGACTCAATCTGTTTCTTTTTAACTTATATGTTCACTGTAAGATTATTTTTTTTAACTTCTGATACATTTTTATTTTTTTATTTATATCATCATTGATGAATGAGAAAAAAGATTCTTTTAAATATAATCATCATTATAAAAATATTCACTCTAATAGTGAAATACCCTGAAGAATTTGTCTGTTCTCAAATACATGACTGTTAAAATAAACAACTCCAGCAAATTAAAAAACAAAGAAAAAAAAATATCAATTTCAAAGCAAAGAGCCCAAAACTGAAAATAAGAAAGAGCAGAATGAATAGAAATAGAAAGATAACAGACAGAAAGCACTACTATAACAGTTCTGGCATAATTACCATTGAGTAGAAGCAAAGGATATGATAAAGATTAGCATTGAGCAAGACTGTGCAGAAGCTAAGTGGAGTACATACTTACCACTTGGGGTTTTGGGAGAGCCAGGGCTGCTGGACTTACTACTGTTTCCATCTGTGAAGCCATCATTTAAAGAAACAGAAGAATGGAAGTTGGCATAACATGTGTACAATGACTTTACTTTGCCCAGATATAAACAATAACAAAATTGGAGATTTACCAGAATTAACTAATACTCATAGAAGTCCGATACAATTCTTTTTTTTATTATACATGCAAATATAATTTTAAAGCAATATCTATACAAGTCATGAGAGGCCACAGTCATTTGTATTCATCAGTGACAGTTTCTTAAACAGTGAATAAATATTTATAAATATCATCTATATAAACAAAGTCAGATACTGAACTATAATAATAAAAGAGATTTAAAATTAAGAGAAAAATATACATAGCTTACAATTAAAAGCTTTTTGTTTTTTATTGTCTGACAATTGCTTAGTATAAAACTGAGTCCCAGAGTGCTGTGTGGTTTGTTATTGTTACTGCTCTGTCTTAATCTAATTTCTAGAGGCTTTGAGCACTTTAGATTTTTGCACACATAGGCATCTATCTTTTTTCTCCTTGTGATTTCTTTTCATTCTTTCTTCTGCTTTCTTGATTTTTTTCTTGGCTCCTTATTTGTTTTTGTCTGTTCATGATTTTTCCTTTGACAGCTTTAGTATTGGTAGGATTGTTCCTTGGGGCTTTATTAATGGTTTTAATTACCAAACTTTTTAAATGCCTTTGAATTTCCTAAATTTTATATACACAAGGTGACTTCCTTATGATTTATGGCATATATAACAGGTATAATAATATTTATCATTCAGACATACTACTAAATGTCAATGTCAGTAAGGAAGCCTTTTTAAGTCTCTTCAGGAAAAACTTTTTAAATGTTTATAAATCTTAAGAGTGGTATTAAGAAGGAGATCCATTTGTAAAGAATGAATCTAAAAAGTCAATGGTTGTTTTTGTATCTGCATAGAGAAAGGAATATTATGTACAATATCAGTATGTATAATATATATATCAGAGATATATTGATGTGGTAAGTTTCAATATGACCTCTTTTTCGATGAATAAACAATATCAAGTTTGAAGGTTTCTTTTTTGTGCTGTGTTGGTGAGATTTGTTACTACAAAACTATAACATGTCTATGTAGCTGGCAAACTATGAAATATCCTAATCTGTTTCAATTAGGAGGAATATCTGAATAGTTGCAAAATAGGAAAAAGGAACAAACATGTATTTTGGTAATTTAAATTGGGAAAAGATTAAGGTTTATTATTAAAATGGTTTCCTAACGAGAGATTTAAGAGTAACCATGAAAATTGATTTTTTTTCTTTATTGATTTAAGTGAAGTTAATGTAAAAGTTCCAAGCATAATATTTTACATAATGTTAGGGAAATCTTTTAAAGTTTCTTTGAAGCTTACTCAGCCCTTTATTGCTTTTGTTCACTACCACATAATGGATGTGAGTCCTGTCTGATTAGCCAGTCCAATAAGCTCAAAATATTGAATAATTCCTCAATATCATCAAATTAAGACTAGAATTATTCTTTTACGATGGAATTCACAATTTACCTGAAACTTAGTGCAAGCACAGAAAAACCACAAAAATACCTTTGGTAGTTGAATAATTTTGACAGAAAATTATGTAACATCATTTTATGAAAATAAAAGATGCACTTTAATTTAATGTAATTTTATTAGAATTGATATCAGTTGTATGTTAAAATCATTATGTAAACTGAAACACTAAACACATCAGAGAACATGCATATGTCAGATTTGTATAAAAAAATAAAAAATTTAAAATCTACATTATAAACAATGACCAGCAAAATCAGTTCACATCTCACAGATATACATTAATAGCAGACAGAATTTTGGTTGATAAGATCCATGTAAGTTACCACATTTGTGCTTTATTATTAAAAAAAAGAAAGAAATTGCTTTATTTATTCCAGCAAACTGCCTGGCTTGAGAAAAGGCATCTGAATGTAATATTTATACCCATTAAAATTTATTTTATTAGCTCAAAGTTCAGCTAGAGAATATTTTTGATCAAAAGAAGAATTACTTTTTAGAAGAGAAAATGATGATAAATCTCCATTTTTGGTTTTGTTCATGTCATCAACTGTAAAGCAATGTACATGTGAATTTTTATTCAAAACATCATGCAGTAATAAAAGACTACTACAAGATTGTTACTAAAAATGGTTAGAGAGAAAAACACATTCTTTTCACTTGATACACTTCAATAGAATAAAACTCTGAGGGAAGGAAATGCAACAACTTGACATCAACAATAGCAAAGGAAAAATCTTCTTTTTTTTTCTAATCTAAGGAAGAGAAGTGAGAAAGAAACACACAATAACAAATCAAAAATTGTGCATCAAACATTTTAGGAGAAAAGAAATAAAAAGATCTTCCTTTCTCTATGTATTTCAAAGTCACATTAACACAATCATGCAAACATTTTTTGTTCATATATTTTTGGTAAAAGGAATAATTTAGTATTTTATGAATAAAATTGTCTTACAATTAAGAGTATAAATGAAATATGAATTGTAACTAATGGAAAAGTTCAGTGTTGATTGGTTGGCATTGTGAAGGGCAGTTCATTATAAAACTTATGTTCTAGAAAGCTTATGAAAGCTTATATTTCCAAAACATGCCTAATGACAATCAGCATTAAAGAGTCCAATATAACAATCATCAATGATATAATTACTGCCCATTGCTAGGATTAATGTTGTTCTAATTGCACATCAATAAATAAAATCTGGAAGAAGAACTATTCATAATAAGCATATTATAATTTTACACTATAAAAACTGTTTTACACAGCAAATAAATATTATAATGACTTAAGTTTTTCAAGGTTTTAAATCATTTGTCTTTTATAATCATTTTGTCTTTATAACAACTTGCATTGCTGGTCAACTTTTCATGTTTTTATATTTAGCAAAATATTTTATAAGTACAGAAAATCTTAATTCGATACTCATAGAATAAAATTTACACAAGCCAATGAAAATGTTCTCATGAAGAGCTGTCAGTTTTTAAAATAACATTTTTATTAAATATTAAGAGAAATTATATTATTGTCTTCATCTTTGTTTTTATAAACAAGGCTTCTGCTTTTCTTAAAGACATGGGCTTTAAAAGGCACTTGGGAATAATTTATGAAATACTGAAAACAGTTCAATTAATTTGAGAAAGCAATCTTGTAAAAGAGTTGGACTGACACACTTGGCAGATGTAGCTGTAGCATTTTTTTTATATTTAAAGAAAAGTCAGCATTCCATTTCCTTTAAGTGTATTCAATGATAAGAATGTTTATGTTATTCCATTTTTTTAATTATTATTTAGTGTTATTTTAAACTATAATGATTAGGAATATTATTTTAATACAACTCTTGTTATTTTAAATTATTATTATTTGAAATAATTACAATAACTAGATTATTCATGTTATTTGAAATTGTCAATAATCAAAAGAGTTGAATAAATGATCACAATCTGTCTTCTGAAACTTAATGAGACATCTAAAAAAAAGTATAAAACTTTGTTGATAGTATTTGAGTTTGTGGAGAATAAATGGCATAGTATAGTAAATAAATTAGAAAGTGCTGGTCATTCATGGAAAAAAAAATCAAATGACAAAAATTGTTTTGTTGGTTTACAAAAATCAAAATATCAAAATGGGATACAGTAATAGATAAATTTTGAATATATAAACCATTATCCTGAAAGTAAATAACTGACTGGGACAGTATTAATAGCAACACGAGTGGTTGAAAAAACAAATTCCATATTTGACAACTTTTTATAGAAACCAGAAGAGTAACAGCAAAAATATAGTAGTTTTATATATTGGGGAACTGATTAATGGTACAGCTAAACTGGTCTTCACAAAAATTTATTAATCCAGTTTAAGTTATGTTGTGATGAAATAACCTGACTTCCCCATTCACCATAAATGGACGTTCCGGTGGCCGATAAAGTTCGACCACAGTAAACAGTCGAGATGGATCAACAGAGCGACAACAAAGGTCTTCGTTGACTACACCATTCGGTTAGCTTACTCCTACTCTGTCTCTGTATTTTGACATTCCTACATTCCGATATAAAGTATTATTATTTAAACCACCACTCGGGTTTACTTTGTTATTATATCTTTTTGCGAGATATAACGACTGGCGACGAGATATAACAGTTGGGGAAACGAGGATTGAAACTTACACGGAAAAACTTTTCGTACGCCTAACTATAACAGTTGGCGAACGAGGATTCGAAACGTACACAGAAAAACTTTTAGTACACCTAACTATAACAGTTGGCGACGAAGGATTGTGCAACGTACTTACTTGAAAAAAAAAAAATATATATATATATACGCTGAACGGATGTTCGAAAGCGGAGTCACAAGTCAAAAGGAAACTTTTTGAAAAGTAAGAATTTTTACTGTTAAATTGTGATTTGAAAAATATATATTGAACCACGACTCAAAAACGAGCCGGTCTAACAATAATTATTCAAGTAAAAATTACGGGTTGTAAAAATATTACGGCTGTAAATTGTTTGTTGAGAGTGTTAACTGTCTAAAAAAAAAAAAAATTTTTTTTTTTTTTTTTGTTTTGCCGAATTCTAAAATAAGGATGGAGCAATTAGTCGAAATGACTAAAATGCTGTGTACAAGCTTACAACAACAACAACAACAACAGTATCAAGAGTTACAACAACAGCAACAAAAACAGCACCAAGACTTACAACAACAAATATTGCAACAGCAAAAAATTCTCGAAAAAGTTTTGGAGCAGGCGACTGGAGAAAGAAAAAATACTGTTTTTTCTGCCGAAGGAATAACAAATTCATTATCCGAATTTATTTATGATCCTGATTCGGGCATTACATTTCCAGCGTACTTTAAACGTTTCGAAACTATATTTACCAAGAGATGTCAACATTGGTCGGATGAGGAACGAGTAACATTACTAGTACAGAAACTAGGGACAAACGAGAATAGGAAGTACTCAAACTTGATACTGCCCAGAAAGCCAGAAGAAGTTTCGTTTGAAGAAACTATAAGTATTCTGTCAAAAATATTTGAAAAGGAATAGTCTGTTCCACACGCGATACAGCTGCCTAAACATCGTTAAAGCAGATAACGAGGATTTTGTGACATATGCGGGAACAGTGAACTCTCTGGTTGAACAATTCAAGTTAGAAGAAATAACCAAAGATGTATTCAAGTGCCTAATTTTTCTTCAAGGACTAACTGATCCTAAATATAAAGAAATTAGGTCGAGAATATTAATAATGGTCGAGCAAGACTCGAATATAACATTACAAAGGGTAACCGAAGAATGCCAACGTCTCATAAACGTAAAAAGGGACAATATTCAAATTGAGGAGAAAAGTGTTGCTAATGTTCAAACGTAAAAAAAACTCGAAAAAACTCCAAACGCCAAAAAAGGTACAAAATGTGAGACGTGTGGAAAAAAAAGTCATACCAAGACACGTGTTGGTACAAAAATAAATTCTGCCAAACGTGTGGGAAAAAAATCATACCAAAGACACGTGTTGGTACAAAAATAAGTTCTGATAATCGCATGGAAATAAAGGGCATAAATATACAGTTTGTCAAAAGAAAAGAAGAAAATTACAAGATGTAAGTCTGGTACTATCAGAAAAAGAAATTCAGAAAGGAAAATAGAAAAATGCGAGATGTACGATAAATAATCATAAAATTATTTTTCCTACTGGATTCTGGTTCAGACATAAGCATCATTGACGAACAAACTTGGAAAAAAAAAATTGGAAGACCTAAATTATTTGAAACCAAAAAAAACCGCTAGAGGGGTTTCAGAAAAGAAATTAAACTTTAAGGGAGAATTAAAGTGCAATATTTCGTTATGTGGCAAGACTGCAAAAACGAAAGTGTATGTAATCCAAGGGATTAATTCATGTCTTTTGGAATAGACTGGATAGTACTTTTTGATTTATTTGAACTCCCGATTAACTCATTTTGCAATGTAATAAACAAAAAAAAAAACAAAAAATATTAAAATGAAAATTCATAAATGAATTAAAAGAAGAATATCCCAGAGTTTTTTCTGAGGGATTGGGTTTATGTACCAAAACGGAAGTCAAATTTGAACTCAAGGAAAATGTGAAACCAATTTTCAAACCTAAGAGAAACGTCCTTTTTCCTCCTTAGACACAATTAATAAGGAATTGAAAGACTTGAAAAAATGGGAGTGATATCTAAGGTTGACCATTCAGATTGGGCCTCACCCACAGTTTATGTTAAAAAGAAAAATGGAAAAATAAGAGTGTGTAGATTTTTCAACTGGATTAAATGATTGCCTTAAGAATCACAGTTATCCACTACCTTCACCAGAAGATATTTTTTCAAAATTAAATGGTGGGAAGATTTTTTCAAAAAATCGACCTGTCTGACGATACTTGCAGATTAAAAGTGAGTGACGAATGCTCGAAATATTTGTGTATAAATACACATAAAGGTATTTATAAGCTAAATAGGCTGCCTTTCGCTAAAAAGTCGCCCCCAGCTTTGTTTCAACAGGTGATGGACACTATGCTGGCAGGCCTGGAGTTTGGTACGCCTATTTAGATGACATTCTAGTCAAAAGTAAGAATGTTCAAGAACATAAAACGCACATCAGAGCGATATTCAAAAAGACTAGAAGATTTTGGTTTTAAATTAAGCCACGAGAAGTGTAAATTCTTCATGGAAAGAATTACGTATCTCGGACAGGTAATAGACAGTGAAGGCAGGAAACCGGACCCACAGAGGGCCGATGCAATTAAAAACATGCCTGCACCCGACACAGTTCTTGAAACTACAATCGTTTCTGGGGTTTGCACAATATTATGCAATTTTATACCTAAAATGTATGATTTAAGAGCCCCCCCTCAAAGAATTGTTAAAAAAAGACAAAAAAAATGGTTTTGGTCAAAAGAGTGCGAGAGCGGCTTTTCAGAAAATAAAAAAATGCCTACTCTCAGATCTCGCTTTAGCACATTATGATCCTGAGAAAGAGATCATTCTAGCAACTGACGAAGTTTATACGGAGTGGGTGCTGCACTGCTACACAAATATGAAGATGGTACTACCAAACCTATCGCGGACGCGTCAAGGACTCTTCTTCCGCTGAAAAAATTATAGCCAGATCGAGAAGGAGGCTTTGTCGATTGTGTTCGAGTTAAAAAATACCACCTTCTTACATGGTAGATCATTTGTACTGCAAACGGATCATAAACCGTTACTTTTCAATATTTGGAAGTAAAAAAGGCATTCCTACGCATACAGCTAATCGATTACGGCGATGGGGTGTAACCCTACTTAATTACCATTTTAGGATGGAATACGTCAAATCTAAAGAACATGGGCATGCGGATGGATTGTCAAGGCTGATTCCAAAAATGAAGAATTGTTAGAAGAGACGGTTATAGCAGCATTAACTGAGGAAAAAAGAAATCTCAGGTCTCTTATTGAATACAATCAGGGAATTGCCAGTAACATTGGACAAAATAAAAAAAGAAGCGGAAAAAGATCACTATATTGTGAAATTAAAAAAACAGACAAATTGGAACAAAAGACAGAAAAAAGGAACTCAGATTTCACCTTTTTCAATTTTATGATAACACGTTGATGTACGCAGATAGAATTGTCATACCTCAATCTTTTACGGACAGATATACTGAAAGAATTTCATACCGGTCATCCTGGAATGTCCCGGATGAAATCACTCATGCGTAGTTACATTATACTGGCCAGGAATGGACAAGGATATCAAGATTTTGTAAGACTATGTAGAGGTTGTCAATTGGCTGCAAGGGCACCTCGGTCAAAATGAATCCTTGGCCTAAAACGGATTTGCCGTGGGGACGTCTACATATAGACTATGCTGGACCAATCAATGGACACTATTATTTGATATTGGTGGACTCTTTATCGAAATGGCCTGAAGTAGTCAAGTGCAAGCATCCTACATCTAGGAACACCATCAGTGCATTGGATGAAATTTTTCAGTCGTTTGGGGTTCCCAGAACATTAGTTAGCGACAATGGTAATGGCGTTCACAAGTATGGAATTTAAGGATTTCTGTACCGCCTTAGACATTGAACACATAACTACACCAGTGTGCCATCCCAGGTCGAACGGGTCAAGCCGAGAAATTTGTCGACACTTTTTAAACGTGCTTTTACGAAAAAATAGAGGTATAGACACTGAAGAAAGAACTATTCAAAAAAGTTTTTAGCAATCTATAGGGTAACTCCTAATGAGAACAATAATGCAAAATGTCACCTGCGGAAATTATGTTCGCAAGAAAATTAGATCAATTTTCGATAGATTGTTACCCTATCAAAACAAAAAAAAGTTGCTAAAAAGACGAAAAAGTCAATATAAAAAAAACACACCAGGAGACAAAGTTTTTTTTTTAAAAACTTTAAAAGTGGGAAAAGCTTTTGGATGGATGGCATAATCCAGAAAAGGATTGGTAAAGTGGTCTACATGATTAAAAGTAATAAATTTATGTGTAAAAGACACATTAATCAGATTAGACCACGATATGGTGAAGAAAGTGAAAAAAGCGAAGAAGAAATTCCGATGGAAGTGTTATGCGATGCTTTTAACATGACACTACCCAATAGTGTATTGGAACCTGTATGATGAACCAGCCTTACGGGCTGGAAAGGAAATTATCTTCGCCAAAAAAGGATCAAATTGCAACGACTGAAAGAAGGAGCACGGCAAAAGAAAAACCAGTGGAGCGTTTTAGTCCGGATCCAAAAGAAGGCGATATTAGAAGCAGAAATTTTCAAAAGGAAGAATTTCAGCTTCGGGGAGGTGTTGTGATGAAATAACCTGACTTCCTATTCACCATAAATGGACGTTCCGTGGCCGATAAAGTTCGACCACAGTAAACAGTCCAGGGAGGATCAACAGAGCGACAACAAAGGTCTTCGTTGACTACACCATTTGGTTAGCTTACTCCTACTCTGTCTCTGTATTTTGACATTCCGACATTCCGATATAAAGTATTATTATTTAAACCACCACTCGGGTTTACTTTGTTATTATATCTTTTTGCGAGATATAACGACTGGCGACGAGATATAACAAGTTATCACAATAATCTTAATTACTTCAAAATTAATTTTAAAGAATTTCATGATTTTCTTTTGGAACCACTGACAAAGAAAGGGATTTGAACGACTTTGGAATATTTTGAAATTCTTGATAAGAAAAATCTCAAATTCATTTTTTTTTCTTTTTCCAATCATATTACTCATTATACAAATAAGCTTATACTAATAATCCTATCCATACTTTAAAAGGTAAAAATGTATTATAAGATTTTATTATTCCTAAAACATTTATCCATTAAGAACATGTAAAAAAACAGTTTATTTTATATTGGAATCCAATTATAATGGTAAATATTCAAAAGCAGCAGAAGTGGGTTCAAATATTGGGTTAGTATTTCAGAGGCCAGTTATAGGTTGAGTGTAAAATCAATTCTTTAATCACAATTCTAAAATAATCTTTATTTGTGTATCATAATGATTGCAGCCAGGTGATTTGTGGTCCCAATGCCAAATCAGAATAGCACCAGGCCTTGTGGACCTTCTTATAAAATACAGAATCTTAAAAAACATGTTAAAATGTTATTTATATTATTGAAAAATAAGTGCAGAAGAAAAGGCCTACCTGCAGGACTATCAGAGTCTATCTGAATGCTTCGTGATCTTCGGATGATGCCATGTACAGATGTTCTACGAGACAGTTTTCGAGGATCAGCACTTTTCTTACGTCCCCATTTCTCTGATGTGCCAAGAACATTGCCTTGAATAGATACAGCATCCAATTTGTTTTTGATGCTCTTCATCAGTTTCTTTTCTGAAATGAAACACACACATGCACAACATTTTAATTCAAGAATGCAAATGAATAAAAGGAACAACAATAAAGCAGACTATTTCATAATTATTATTTTCTTGATCTACTTATTTTTCTTTAAACTTTAAATGAGAAAAAAGTTGCACAAATATTCACACTAAAGAGAGAAAGAAAAAAAATGAGATAATTTAAAATTTAGCTTTTATATTTATTTTGACTTTCATCATCTATAAAAACTATAAAAATAATATCTTAATTCTTTTAGATTATAAAATAACGAAGAAGAGGAAAGTAAAACAAATGTTAGGTTCCTAGGATTAATATTTTTAATAATATAAATAGTATTTTATGCACAAAGGAGTTGTACATTATTTACACCAAGTTGTCACCATTTTTCACTTCCTTTCTTTTCAAGCAGACATTTGGCTGCTTCTTCCAACTTTATTTACAGGCAAATACTCCAGGAAATGATGTAACCTCAGAGAGAGTTGCTAATTCATCATTTAGACTCAATTCATAAATGAATGATGCTTGTATCATTGGAAAAAGTTTAAATTATCAATTGATAATATCCATTGATCTCCAAGGAAACATGAACTTATGACACCTGCTATTTAAGGGTTAAATAATTATTACAAAATATATTTAAAAGGAAACCATCAGGAAGCCCAGATTACTTTTAAAATAAATTATATTTGTTGCTACCACATAATATCTCAAAAGGTTTTCAAGGAATTTTAATATTTTGAAAAAAGGGGAACCATGTTCTTTGTATGCTTTCTTAGTTTAATCTGTTTTCACTTACAAGTGAAATATTTGATAGCTTTTAACATTCTTTTTTGTGATTTTCAATACAAATTTATCATTAACTAGCAGTAGAGCCCGGCGTTGCCCGGGGATATAACAGTAAGAGATAGATCAAGTATCCACCATTATAAAGACTGAAAAATAAAATTGACAAAGATTATTGTTTAAGGTTGACGGACACGCATGTCTTAATTAGATTTTTTTTTTTTTTACGAATTGGTCAAACCCAAACTCAAGCAAAAACATTGTCTACTGATTGAATAGAATTTTATTATAAACAATTGTCTTGTAAATAGAATTTTTAAAGCATTCTGAATGTAAAAATAAAGAAAAAAGTGTGCAAGACAATAAGAAACACTACATGCCAAAAAAAAAAAGTGAAGTTTTGTTGAAATCGGTTGAAAAATGTAGGTAGCCTTTCTGTAATCTTTTAGTTTTACAATTTATGATTTTTACTTATTGAATACAGTAATAAAAATTGCATATTTTGCTTGTGGTGATTCATAATTAGAATTCTGATTTGAATATATTTTTCACTCGTTGTTTCTAATACAAAATATATTAACTTTATTTGGGTTTATTAATTATGATCTAACAAATCTTATTCATTTAGTAGCCTTCTCTGTAATATATAATAATCTTTTACAATTTATGATTTTTACTTATTGAATACAGTAAAAAAAATTGGACACCATGTGTATTTAAAGTAGTTTCCGTTCAGTTATTATTTTTAGTTAGGACTTGTGTATGTTTAGATTTCATTATCTTTCCCTAAAGATAAAGAATTTATCCGATGTTTGTATTCGTACAATCAGTAGAGATCGTTAGATTATTGTTTAAGGTTGATGGACACGCATGTCTTAATTCTTTTTTTATTTTTTTTATTTTTACGAATTGGTCAAACCCAAACTCAAACAAAACCATTGTTTTTTCAATCGTTATGAGTCTACTGATTGAATAGAATTTTATTATAAATAATTGTCTTGTAAATGGAATTTTTAAAGCATTCTGAATGTTAAAAAAAATAAAAAAAAAAGTGTGCAAGAGAATAAGAAACACTACCTGCCAAAAAAAAAAAGTGAAGTTTTTGTTTTATCGGCTGAAAATATAGGAAATCTGCTCCCATATTTAAAGTAACCTACACACACAAACAAACCGATGTGAGTTGTCCCCTTCCATTTTTCACGATGTCTCTTAATCGTGTTTTCAAATTGATTTTGTGCAAAAAACAATTATATTTTTCCCATTTTGGCACTGTTAGAACCACCACAAAGGTAATTTTATGTAGTCCTGTGAAGTTTTGTTGAAATCGGTTGAAAAATGTAGGAAATCCGATCCAATATATAAACGTTACAGGCACACACACACACACACACACACACACAATCTGCGTTTTATAATAAGTAAGATAATGTAAAGACATGTAATATTTTTCACTCTGTACAAAGATTCTTAGATTAGGCATTTCTATTGGTTCATTTTGGAAATGTCTTTGGCAGCTGAGAAATCATGAGCCATTAGAAAGATTAAAAATGCCTCTAGTTTTCACACTGCTGTTTTTAAATTTGAAAAGACAGTATTTTTAGATCTTTGATTATTCAGATTTTAATAAATAATAGAATATAAAAAAGAACTTAATTTTTACCTTGATCTTCTCCTTCTGAACCAAAAACAAAACTTAGGTTACTGCTGCAACTGGTACTGAGAAAATCTTTCATACAACCAACTTGGACTCTGTAATTAGAACAGATCAATTTCAAATACTATACAGAAGAAGTCTCTACATGACATATAGTATTGACAATAGTACAAAGGAAGTCTTTAAAAGTTACCAGCTCTCCTTAATATGAAAAATGTAAACATAATGGATCAATTGTACATCTCCATACAGATAATGTGATTACATTTCACAAATTAGAAAGTGTGAATAATCTGGCAGTTAACAGCAAAGTAAACAATCAATGAATAAAGATGAAATTCTGTCTGGGCAGTTATTTTGAACTTTGAAATCCCACTTTTGGCAAAGACATGAATTAATTTCTCTCTCTCTCAGATGGACTGCCTAAAAGGATCTAACTGCACTATTATTCACCTATAACTGCATAAGGGGATGGATTTATGTCTTTCTTTAGGGCATCAGTTTGAAGTGAATACAATGTCTCCCAGATGGAGCTTGAATTATTCACTGGCACCATTTTCTTTGTTCATAACTGTGAGTTGATTCACACAACTATGACATTAAAAATACATGCTCATTGAAGAATTTTTGACATGAACTATTTTTGTTCTACCATTTTACAAGTTATTGTCTTTATGATGTTAGTACAAAGTGTTAAAGTTTTTAGCTTTCCTCAGATGTAAGTCGATTCTGATGGCCTTTGGAAATAATGAATATCTGCAATTTGATGACAATTTTTCATCAGCTCACTGATTGGCTGAGGTCCCACCAATCAGTGTATTCCATATGTATATCTTTAGTGGGCAGTTTGTGTCTTTTTGAAAAAAAAAAGTCCTTTTCATTTCAAAGGTCTAAGAGACACATAAGTAAATCACATCTGTAGACCTTCTACTACCCTTGATGGAATTGGAGGTATCTTTCCTTGTTTAACCTCAAACTACTAGATGATACCACAAGACTGATTCTTTATTACCTGAACATTCATCTTCATAATTAAGTTAAGTCTATGAATACGCATCGTATTTTCAACTTTAATGTTCCCTCTTTTCTACCCTAATTTCTATTTTTTTTTTATTGTTCTCTTTCTTCATTTCAAATCTGCCATCCTCTTTTCATTGCATCTATTAAAATATTTAAACATTAATGACTGTTCCAGTTGTTCGTCTTCAAACACATCTTTCATTCACTTAAGACTTACAGTTTCCTATGCTTCAGTGATTCAGTTAAATCACTGCACCTTACAATTACATAAAATCTTATAATAGTTTAGACATTTTTTTTCTTTTTCATCTCCTTGTCAAGACCCCCAGGTATCTGCAGTGCTACAAGAATTGCTAGGGTAGAAAAGGAGGAACAATAAGTTTGCAATTTATGTAATGGTGGTAATATTAAATACATAAGAATAAACAATTAGATCGTCTCAAAATGACTTTGTTGAGAAATGATGTTCACACTAATGATAAAATAGATAAGCTGTACAAATGACTTCTAAAGATCATTGGATTCAACATAAAACCTGAGAGAGACTGAAAAATATATCAGCTGAAATATATAGAATATATGCAATACTTTCATTCAAAATTATGTTTATTATTAACAAGAATTGTATGATATTAGCAAACAGGAAGAAAACAGGTTATATAAAAAGAAACTTACCTTGTTCCATTGATATAACCACTTTGTAATTTTTTAATATTAGCAACAAGAGCAGTGGATGGAATTTTACCATGATCTATAATGTAAATAACATAAACAAATTGAACTTTTTAAGTTTTGTACATTGTTTTATGATTATTAAAGATTACAGAAACTGCCATATTTAATGTTTATATAAAATATTCTTTTTTCACAAAAATATGGTTAAAAAGTATCTCCCCAGTCTTATTATAAGGTATCTGGTAGCATAATATTTACCCAGAAACTGTAGATTATCAATACTTCTATCGAACCCAATTCTATATCACTGTTAATGTAAATGTTGAAGGAGGGCCTTATATACTATCAAATATGGAAGTATAAAAAATAAATAAATTACAAATTCTAACCGGAATGTTGTTAGATTATAGTTTAGTTTTGGAAATAGAAAAAACATTATTAAAAAGTACTTAATTTTATAATGGGAAATATATAAGTTGCTTTGTTATAATTTAAATTGTTTTATAAGCATTATTGTGTTATTTTTTTTTTTGCAAACAAAATATAAAAAAATTATGAAATGAGTATTTCATTCAACTGGATTTCAACAAAACTTGTTTATAAACATGACATAAAATGATTATATAAAGAACAGATTAAATGCATTGCAGAAAGTATTTCTTTTCTGGATTATCCCTTCATTCCAAGATTGAAATTTGACTCACAAATATCTGATTTGCATAATCATCTACAAAAATGTAATAGTACATACCACCTGGGAAAAGGTAATTGAATGTAAGCAATATTTTGTGCCCTTAGTGACCTCACAAGGACATGGTGAGACAGAAAGTTTCATTTCAGACATGTGTTCAAATACAGAACTGAATCTCTTGAATGAATTTGAAGGTCAGACTAGAATAAAATCATTTGTCTGTTCATAAGTGACTTCTAAAGTTCATTGGATTCAACATAAAACCCAAGAAAGACTGAAGAATATATCAGTTAAAAATTGAATTCATTGAAAAGAAAATTAAAATAATTTAAACAAAAAATATAATTCACAAATTCAAACAAAATTAGTTTTTTAAGTTTTCTGTTTGAAAATAAATTGTTTTAATTTAGATAAAAAATTCAAACAGCCTCATTCTCAAATTTGACTATGTCTGGATATTAACATTCTGCAAAAAGTAATTTTGTATTTTTTTTTATTTTATTCTTGGACTTTCTGATAATGTAAATAATATAAGAAAATCAAAAAGTGTAAAATTTAAAAAGTGAAAGTGAATGAAAAAGATTTCACAGAATACCATTAATTAGCATGCAAAAGTTCCAATATACCAGAAAAGGTCATTGTCCGTTGTTAGTTATAAGACTTGTTAGAAGTTTTTATCTACAGGAAATTAAATAATTTCTAGTTGAGAAATATGCAAAGTCAAAGCAGGTTTTTGTTAGCATACTGCAGTGAAACTCTATGGCAAATTAGGGTATCGAATTAAAATCTTAATAGAACTGAATTGTATCAGAATTATTCATTATAAGCAAATATTTCTGACTTTCAAGTGGTAGAGTGTAGAGTTAATCAAAAATTAAATGGATTAACATCTGCATTACTAATTCCTAAATACCAGAATGAACCAATTATTTAAATTGCAATAGATGAGTGCAAATATTTATGTATACTGGAACCAAGGTTTCAAAATAAGGATTTTTTGAAAAAATAATTTTGCAAAAATAAATTGGTATATTTAGAAGGTTAAATGAACAAATATACAGCTAGAGATGATATTAATGGCTAGAAAAGTGAGAAAAGACATCTAAATATGATACAATGGACATTGCATATTATTAAGTAATGTTAACAGAATCTTTTAGATGCCTTTAAAAAATAAAGCTTTTTTTAAATGAAACAAACTTAAGCAAAATGTTTTTTCTTTAGTAAACATAAAATCTTTAAAAAATAGAAAATAATCAAAATAAATGCAGTTGAATGTTGAAAGCTTTGTTATAAAATAAAAGCTATATTAACAATAAAAAGAGTGAGGTTACTTCATGCAAGAAAGAAAACATGCAGCAAATCTAAAAGCATTTTACCATAGCAAATGATAAGAATAATGATGATGATGATAATGCACACTTGTAAATAATGAAGCAAATAGAAAATAAAGTTGGGTTCTTAACTGAGCAAATCCAAGGAGAATAGCAAATGTCTTAGAAATGTACTTGGAAATTTCTTGGTCAGTAAAAATATAATCAACTAAAAATCCAGTGTTAAAAAGAAAAAGAATTTGGAAAATTTAGCAAATTAAATTTTAAAAATATAAAAATTGAGGAAAGCAGATTAATTGTCTCATTAAAACTGAACCTGTCACAAAATACCCACCAGTGCATGCCTGCTTATTTTATTAAAATATTTATCCTCCTATTTTAGCAGTAATCTATCTATCAATAATCATGATTTGTTTTTCTGATGGTGACTCATCCACTTTATGGCTTTGAAGAATTTATGAATTCATCAGAGTTGGTTAGAATTTGTCCCTCTGCAATTCAAATAATGTTATACCAATAATGAAATAACATATACATAATATATTTCATTGGAATTTTAGGATGTTGATTATGATAGGAAAATTGAATTTGAGTATACATATGAGAGAGAGAGAGAGAGAGAGATTGATTAAGTTATTGCATGATGTCTTGAGAGAGGAAAACTTGTTTTCATTTTCCTTTCTAACAAAAAAAAAAAAAAAATTAAAAACTTAGAATGAAAAAAATAAAAAAAATATGCAAAACCATTTGTAAATTTAGAATAATGTATGAAAAGTATATTAATATTCTGATGATGATATAATTAACTGTTGAAATAAAAGCAAGGAAAATTCTTTTAATTACCAATAAGGGTGTTATTTTAGATTCATTTTCATTTTTCAGGTATAAAAGTCAAAAGTACATTTTTGAATAGGTAAAGAAAATAGTCTTTTCTTTTCAGTAAAAAAAATAATAAGACACATTTAATTTTTTTTTTTTTACTAATGTTCACCTCTTAAAATGCCCAAGAGCCACTTGAATTAATACAATATAATCCTTTTATAAGTTTTGAGGTTCATGAAATATAAGCATGAAGAAAGCAAAGAATCCTTAAATTGATGTTTCAGAGTCAAATGTTCTCTCACAGAGGCTGCTTGCTGTAAATGTCTATATGGAGTATTGCTGCTATATCTGGACAGGAGCTACCCAGTACTCACTTGACTGTTTTGATAGGTGGTAAATTATTTTCCACTCTACAATCCCTTTTCCAGAGATGAAACATCACAAGCCTCTTGCTACCCTATTGCAATTTCCATAGAAAGTTCTAACAGACTGAATTCCTTGGTCCCACCAACCCTGACCTTTACAATTGGTACCCACCATGCTATGTACACAAGGATGAATCATCCCCATTCCCTTCATATTTCATTAGTAAGGAAGAAGTTTCATTTGGGTAACTTCTTCCCAGAAACTGGTCCTTTGGGGAACAGACTCCCAGCAGGATGTTTTCCAAATCACATGCAATTTTGACCTCTTGAAGTTTAGAAGTCTAGGGTTAACTGTTACATTTCCTACAAAACCTTGTAAACTGAACTTCTTCCTTTTAGGCTCATACAACACTACACAGTAACCCTCTACCTTGAGTGGCTCTTGGACGTTGTATTGGATAAACATTAGTAAAAAAACAAATTTAAAAAACACTTGCCACATCACATTTCAAATTAAATTGGGGTTTTAATGTATTAATAAAAAGTTCAGTAGTAAGATAAAAATAAAAATCATCATTGTGAATGTTACTTTAAACTTATCATTACAGATATATATTTCTTACAACCACCCTATTTAACTTAAATATCTGTAGTTCATATTTATATTAAAGCTATGTAATGTATCTAAGAAATATGACAAGTTTTGAACATTTGCTTTCAATAAACTACTGTTTAATGTTTTTATCTAATTTAGATGAAGCACATTACTCTAAGATAAATGAACAAGTAAGATAATAAAAATAGAATTCTGTATGAAATAAAAATAATTATTTTTTAACTAAATTGTTGCTTAAAGTCTTTCAGTGATCATATTGGGTGGGAGAAGTAAGCATGCAGGATCTGAATATGCAAAAAAAAAAGTATAAAGAAACAAAAATAAGTGCATTCTTGGAAAATTGAATTCAGTCAACACTCATATCTGAATATACAAAAAAAAAAGAAAAAAAAGGTTTAAATTTGAGATGCATATATGGACAGTAACGAACATACATGGATACAAAAGAACAGGATTGTAAGTAAAATGGTTATGATGACAACCAGGAAAATCTTTAACTTCAGTGAGTAAACACAAATCCTGTGTCTTGTTATCACTGACTAAAGCCTCAAATATTAATATAAGGATCAGTTAAATCTACATAATCTCAATTGTATTCTTATTATCAAAAATAATACAATTAACCATGGATTAATTACTATGATTATCAATAAAATTATGATAAAATCTTAAGCTATTGCCAGTGTATATTCACTCACTTGAAACAGTATCTGATTGGAAGAAAAGCAATTGTTGTTTCTAAACCAATTTAATGTTCTGTAAACTACAAAACTTTCCTTCTAAACAGATGCTAAAAATTAGCATAGGAAAAAAAGAGGAATATAAATTTGTTAAGCATGTATTAATAAAAGAAATATTCAAAACTGAATTGTCATCTGATATTTGGCCAAGTATTTTATCCTGTCTATAATAGTCAGTAGGTTATGCAGTATACAATAGCCAGTTCATGCAGATACTTGTAAAATCCATGATATTCAGATATTAACAACTGAAAATATTTTTGCTCTAATTGTAAGTGTTCTAACCTAGAGAGAGGTTACTAAATAGAATAATCAAATGAAGGTTGGAAATGAATGATAATACTTAGGACAAGAATAACATATGAGATTTGCCAGAGGCGCATAGAAGTAGTAGTATTCAACTGCTAGAAGTGAGTCAAATGAATTCCACAATGAATCTCCATCTGTAGGATATTTACCAACTGCCCACGCAGTCAGATGTGGCACAAGACAGAATTTAATGTGGGGT